GAGAGAGAGAGAGAGAGAGAGAGAGAGAGAGAGAGAGAGAGAGAGAGAGAGAGAGAGATTGTATTTATGGGCTGCACTAATACAATTTCCAGGCATTTGTTGAGTTTGTTGAGTCCCTGCTCCATGCCTGGTGGTACTGCTCTAGGGCTGACTATTGACTATCCTGCTTTCAGAGAGCACTCCTCTTAGTAATGGGCCTGGTCCCAGGAGAGCCAAGCAGCTGTTCACACCGCAGTCAGCTCTAAAGGCAAGAAACAGCAAGGTTCCTTAGCAGATCATTCTTTACAGGAAGGAAGTCTCTTCAAAGGTGACACTACAGCTAAGATCAGAGCAAAGAAGAGCCCACCAAGGTAATTCGGACACACAACCAAGGCCTTGGGATGAAGTGGTGGTGAGCTGGAGATTTGGGAAGAATATTAGGAGGGGCATGGTAAACCATAGTGTGGCACCTAGAGACCACCCTGGGGGACATGTGGATGTTAAAGTCACTTCCTTAATGATTAGACATTGGCAGACCCATTCCAAAGGTTGAAATAAACCGTCTGCTTTGAGCTATGACCTATCTGTGTGATTGGCGAAAACTGTTTATTGTGAGATTCCTACATCCTACCTCCAGCTGAGAAGGCCTTTGCTGTGATATATTTCGGTGGGAAAGCAAAACAGATGGCCTGAGGAAAAACCCTTAATTAGAACAATGATTGCACCACAAGTCCAGGCTGCTAGGTGTGTCCAGGCTGCCAGGTGTCGGTCAATAGTCCAGACCTTTTCTGGAAAGAAGAGCAAAATGAAGCGGCAGAACTTTCCAGCTAGACAGGAACACACCCAACACCACCAGGACCTGTGTGAACCGTGGGCCAGGTGCCTCATCAGTAATTAACTCAACTCTTTAATTACAAAGAGTGTTTAGGAAACTGAAGTGATGAGAAGATCAGCCTTGGGGATGTCTCTGCTCCAAGGACTGTTCTGCCATTGCCAAGGATCCCGTGCCAACCGGGAAGGGGTGTAAGGATTTATAGGAAGGAGACAGTTCAGTGTGTTAAGCACTTGCCACACAAGTGTGCGGACCTCAGTGTATATCCCTAGACGCCACATAAAATCGAAACACAGTAATACACACGTCTGTGATCCGTGTGCTCCCATGGGAAGATGGGCAGTGGAGACCTAAGAATCCTGGGAAGTTTGAAATACAGCCTGTTATATGCAGCAATGAGACCTGAAGTAAACAGTGGAAATGGAAGACGAGCACCCATGATTAGCCTCTGACCTCCACATCCTACACCCACACCCACACAAACACCCTCATTTTCCTCATTCTCTCTCTCTCTCTCTCTCTCTCTCTCTCTCTCTCTCTCTCTCTCACACACACACACACACACACACACACACACAGAGGAATTTATAGGCAGACAGCTGTGGGTGTGAGACTGGGTTCCACTTCCTACTCAGGGACAAAACATCTTAGCATCAGTTTTCTGAGTCGATAACCCGGGGATCATTGTGCTCGGCTCACACAGCTGATGAGAGAAACCCCAGCACATGGGGTAGACCCTGTCACTTACATTTGCTTGGCTTCTGGGCTCCATCAGCGCCCCTCCTTTTCAGGAGAACACCAGGTTTCACAGCCTCCAACTGTAGCCCTGGTTATTTCTTCTGCAGCCCTCACCTTCCCCTGGAAGAGAGAGCAGACTGCTGTTGACTTGGCTTCCTTTTATCACCACCAAAGGATGGCAGTTAATCAAGGCATGGCATGAAGAAACCCAGGAGATGCTCTTCATGATGAAAGCCTTACCTAAAGGCTCTTGTTTGTTATTGAAGTACTGTCAGCGTCTAGCAAAATTTAAAAATACAAAACAAGATGTGGGCTTGTGAGTACGTGGAGGTTGAGGAGGAGAATTCTTAGCGCTGTTAATTTATGTTTGGCTCATATAACAAGTTACATCACACTGTTTTGAAAACATTACCATAGTACCATTAAATTTAATCTTCTGCTCCAATGACATTATCACATCCAAGTGGAGAAGAGCTGTTACTGTGAAGGTGTATTAACAGCCAGAAACTTAAATAATCATTTTATTTGGATAAATTTCAACATCAGCCCCCCCCCCTCCTTTTTGTCTATGTTTTATGAAATCTTAATATTCAGAGACAACAGGAAACTGAGTGATCTGGAAAGAACATGGGCATGGGCCTGCTTGGTAATTAACTGCTAACCCTTCCCACCACTTGGACACAGATTTGTAGTAGACCCGGCACCTGTGAAGTCTGGCGTTTGAGTCCCAACTCTACCTCTTATCAGATATTTGATCTTGGCACAAACTGTGTTGCCTCTAACCCTCAGTTTCCCTCTCTGTAAAATGTGGAAACAACAATAATATTCACCTTATGAGCTGTTATTAGACGAGAGCCCCAGGAGAGCGGTCGGTCGGAACAGAGCCCACTGCATAGTATGAGGTCAGAGAAGGAAGCCATCATCCACTGTCAGCTGTGCTGCCCTTAGCAGGCCGCTCTGAGCAACCTGGACTCTAAAAACTTCTTCTGTAAAATACGGGGCTCCCTCTTGGCCCCTCTTCATGGCCTGCCCCCTCCTCCCTTTCTCTGTTATTCAGAGTCTTGCTATAAAGCCTGGAGTGGCTGGCCTTGAACTCATAATCCTCTTGCCCCAGCCTCTTTCATACCAGCAAAATACAGGCTTTGGATTAGAATCAATGTTTCCTAAATATAATTATTCTTATATGGCCTTCAAATTATTTGTCATTTTTGTGAAAAATACAGTTTTAAAAAAAATGAAATTGTCCTTGGTGTATCCGTGTAAATTTATGAATTTAAAATAAATGTGTCATTCTGTGTGGTCAAGTGACTGTTTGGTAAGGGGATCAGAGGAAGCCTTGAGTGAATGAAGTCCTTAGTGAATCTGTGCGGTTGACATGGATATGGCTTTGTCAAGGGCCCCAGAGCCTCAGCCCCATGAGAAATGGCAAAGCTTTCCATGGACTAGGCTCAGGGAAATGCCAAAGTCTTATTTCCTGATCCAAGTGTCAACAGTGTGTGCAGAAAATGCCCACCATAGCTTTCTGCCCACCATGGATACTTCAGCTTGAAGACTGCTTCCTTCCAGAGACTGCCTGCTTCTAGTGGGATTAGCTAACCCGCCTCCTTGGTTCAGCTGTATGCAATAACCCCTGCTGTGGGACGGTCTTTCTGTACACTGTGAATATGTGTTACTACTATTGGTTAATACAGAAGCTGCTCTGGCCTATGACAAGACAGGTTATAGCCAGGCAGGAAATCCAAGGAAGATTCAGAGAGAAGAAAGGCAGAGTTGGGGAGACACCAGCCCACCCCACAAGGAGCAAGATGTCAGCAGACTGGTAACACCACAGCCACGTGGCAATATATAGATTAATAGAAATGGGTTAATTTAGTATCTAATAGCTAGCTAGCAATAAGCCTGAGCCATACACCAAGCAATTTGTAATTAATATTAAGCCTCTGAGTGATTATTTTATAAGCTGCTGCAGGACCGCAGGACAGAGAAGGGTCCAGCTACAAACCCCGCCTCCCTGTCCAGCTGTATATAGTGAACATGCTGAGCTTCTAGGGTGCGGCAGCTTCTTCATCCGATCCCAGCTTTCCTGCCCGTGTGTCTTTTCTTTTCTTTTCTTTTCTTTTCTTTTCTTTTCTTTTCTTTTCTTTTCTTTTCTTTTCTTTTCTTTTCTTTTCTTTTCCTTTTATTTCCTCTCTGTACCGATAAGGCCAAGTACCTGAAGCCCTGCAAGGATATGGCAGTTCATTTTTCTTTCATTTTGGTTTTTCGAGGCAGCTTCTTCCTATAGCCTAGGTTGGCCTCAGACTCACTATGTAACCCAGGATGGCCTTGAACTTGTTTGGTCCTTCTTCCTTCAGTCTCCTGAGTGCGGGAATTACAAGGCAATACCAACATGCCCAACTAATGGATCTGACTTTAAGAGCACAGAGGATCACACCACCCACCTTTCCAATGTGCAGTTGTGGAAGACTCCATCGCTGGAAGGTAGACCCAGCCACGGACAGCATGCTTGTATCCAGTGAGTTACCAGAAGCCCACACCCCCGAGGCACCTCCGAAGCCACTGTGCTAGCTGTCTTTTTAATTCAAAGGTAGCACAATAGAAACACCTGTGAAAAGTAACGTTTTTCTGAGGCAGAGGAGGGGGCAGAGCCTGAAGCCAGACAGCTCGCAACCAAATGACACTCTCCGTTTCATGATGAAACAAGTCAGTCATTTAACAGCTGTGTGCCTCCCTTCCCCTGTCTACAAACTCAGGACAAGAAAGTTGTCTACTCCCAGTGTCAATGACACCTTTAGGTGAGTTAACACATGAAATGAGTGGTCTTAGCATATCGTAAGCCACCACCATAAGCAACTCTACCATACTATAACCAATAGGAGTGTTTGTCAGCTCAGAATTCCATTTCGTCCCTGAAGTGTCTAGGCAGTCAGTCCAGGCTATTTGGCTCCTAATTCTATAATAGACAAGTGATATATCTGGCTGAGATGTTTCTTCCCATGAAGTTGTTAGAATAGTCTCTTCCTTGAAGGGTTGTAAGTATGGTAATAGCGACACTAGACAGCAGGTCTATAGTTGAGCAGCTTTGAATACTCCAACAGTCCAGAAGATCCCATGGAGGAACGTGTAGCCAGACGGCTAGTTAGCCTAAACAGAGCATCTATGTGAGACCCAAATGCTGATTGCTTAAGTAAAACCGCAAGGGGAGAGAAAACCATTTCTGTCGCTGCGGTCTTCCCACCAAGAACACTGAAGAAAATTAGACACAATGTGAATCCCAGATGTCCAAACAGATCACTCATTCATTTGGTTATATAAAAAAATAAGTCTCTCTGGCCTACCATACCTGAATCCCTTTCTATCTCCTACTCAGACTCTGCCTCTAAATCTTCACACACCTGCATCATGTGACATCCAAAGTAAGCATGATTCCTTGAAGCCTGTGGGATGTTTGCCCCGGAAGTAATTCCATTAGAGGGGAAGCACTGTGTACCGAGATTGGAAATGGAGTACACAGATGACTTGGTGTGGCAAACCGACGCGGCCTTCGTGTTGGGAGAAGCTCGAGGGGCAAATGAAGTGTTTCAACTACTCGAGCAGAATTACCACGTGCTGAATTATTCCGTCTCAATGAGAAAGTTTTTGAAAATTACAGTGCACTGGTAATTACGCTCTCAGACTCACTGCAGCACATTTGAATAGACTGTGCCTTTTAGCTTGGATGGGACCAGGTTTTACTCTGTGGTCAGTAAGTTCCCGTGTCAGAGAACTATAGATATATAGGTGGCTGAACAAATCCCAACCAAGGTAACACTGGGGGTGAGGAGGGCAAAGCCAAATGCACTCTGCTTTTGTTCTGCTTGAAAGGAAGAATCCGAAGCTGCCTGGTTGCTGCTTTGGTTTCTCTTATCAGGGGGCTAACTATGAGGAAAAAATTTCTCCTCAGAGATTCCCTGATGTCCCAGAATCCACTTGGCATGTTTCTCAGTGAATTTGCCATTTCTGTGCTTGCTGTCTGTCTATTTCCAAATAAATTAGTAATTTTTTTTTTTGAAAAAGCACAGTGTAGTCATGAATTGCTTGGTAACAGGGGCAAATTCTAAGATGTATGAGTAGATGATGACGTTGCATGGCCACCATTGCATGTGTTTACACAGAGCTGAATGGCAAAGTTCACTACATATCCACTAGACGGTGTGTACTTCGTATCTGTGGTTCATCTCTAGCAAACCACATCTGTATAAAACCATGGGTGCTGCAGAGCTGTGCAGATAAGATGTTATTAACTTATAACCCACCCAGTTAACCCTATCATTCTGCTGGTTTTGGCTGGCTGTTGAGATGTGTAACACCCTTCTCCAATTCCTTTTTTTTCTAAACCAAGTCCATCCTTTGGCCTAGCTCAGATTATTAGCCCAGATGCATTAATCTTTTCATCCCTTACATTGTCTTGTTCTCATTTTTTCTTTCTGAAGTTTCCCTTTTTTCCTCCCACCCTGCCTAGTCCTGTGTGGACGAGACTGGGGCATATTCCAAACATAATCAGTTTCCTGATTCAGATTCTTCAAAGAGAGCTGTGTCATCCTCAAAAAAGATGCGATTTTGTCTAAGCCAAGCAAGATTTGTCTGTATTTATTATGCCAAATCAACTCCACTGAATATGAGACTAACAAAAATTTCATATGTATTATAGCTATATATGACATACATTATTTATGAAAAAATTATCATGCCAGGCACCATTTTAAGTTCTTAGCATGTTGTAAGTCCCCCATGCTTATACATTTATTGAAATTCCCCACTTTGCAATGCTTTGCCACTTCTATTTTTTTATGAAACACTGTCTTATTCTTTGAAATTTTCAGTGTTTAATGTAAATTGGTCATACTTGCCCTCTGCCTCCACTTCCCTCTGGGTTAATCTCCCTTCCTGCCTTAAATCCTTATCTATCTATCTATCTATCTATCTATCTATCTATCTATCTATCTATCTATCTACCTATCTACACACATATAACCAATGGAATCCATTATCATTATCCAATGCAGTGTTTTCCATTTTTTAATGAATTTATTGATATCTAACAAATCCATCAATATTCTTACTACTTATTCTTTATCCAC